GACAAAAGTGTTATTGGCCACTATTCAGTTCTTTACATTGTATAGCGGCAGATATAATAAATAAACTTAGTATTTCTTTGTTCAGGGTTACTGATAAGGAGTGGAATGCTCCGAAACTGGTACAACCCAATAAAACACGTTGATCAAAGTGTAGAGTGAACTGGGCCCCCCTTGAACTTAGATTTCGAGAAATTAAACAATTTTCGGAATATTATATTTATTTATCGTTAAGCGTGCATGACTCAAAGTTATACCACGAATAACGTTTCCTGAATAATTTGAATTGTATTTTCTGTTATAGAGGAAGCGATGTTATTGCCCTGTAACATTGTTGAACTATAAACACATTAGTTATCTATGTACAGGTTAATGTAAAAGCAGAGATTTTGTTAGTACAAAAAAGTCGTTCATACGAAAATAATTCTCCAAATAATTAACATCAGTTTATGGTGTTAATAATGATCAGACTTCTAGTAATGATCGATATTTAAGTAGTCCAATTTGGTTACTCAGCAAATGAAAAATAAAAGCATTGCAATTATATTTTTATGTTTATTTTTAAATTTCGCGCAAAGCTACACGAGGGCTATCTGCGCTAGCAGTCCCTAATTTACCAGTGTAAGACTAGAGGGAAGGCAGCTAGTCATCACCACCCACCGCCAACTCTTGGGCTACTCTTTTACCAACGAATAGTGGGATTGACCGTCACATTATAACGCCCCCACGGCTGAAAGGGCGAGCATGTTTGGTGTGACGGGGATTCGAACCCGCGACCCGCAGACTGCGAGTCGAGCGTTCTAACCACCTGGCCATGCCGGGCCCTTTTTTTTATGTTTCATGACTTTCAAATTAATGCTCGTCACCTATGAACACACCATCTTCACCATGACAGGAGTATTTACTTAACATTTGTTCGTCAATAATAAGTAATAATAATTAATTCCGATCAGAATAAGCTATGTACTTATAACGAAATTAATATTCAACTTGGTCATCAGTATATTTAGTTATGTATACTTTACTCACATATCTACTTATAAAGATTAGAATGAGTTGTTTAATCAGTTGGGTATCCTTGCTGTTAACGACATTTTCGACCGTAATCCCAATAATATCTCACGACTCTCGGCAAGCTTAGGAGATTTAGGTTAGTCCTAAATACAGATCCTAAGCTAACAATGCGAAACAATCGTTGTAATAGAAATAAAAAATAATTACTTTCGTTACACTAACTGTTATAACCAATATTGTTAATGAAAGCAACAATAAACAAACAAGTAAAACGAATTATTGTTTCTCATTTCCTGCTTTGTATTTTCAGTTCCTTTACAAGTTCGGATTGAGCCCCATTCTTTAGTAGTGCTGAGTGGTGGGGTAGTAACACTCACTTGTAGCATATCGGGACATCCAATCGACTCGATTGTCTGGACAAAGAACTTTCGCCCCCTGGTGACAAATGAGAGAGTTATTCTCCGAGGAAAAGATGTGCTGCATATAAGTTCTGTGCAGAAAGGAGACCAAGGGATGTACCAGTGTTTTGTATACAGTCATGGAGACAGCCATCAAGCTACAGCTCAACTTGTAGTTGGGGGTGAGTTGGTGAAATACGAACGTAATTTCGTATAACTTGGAGCGTTTATGTTTCCTTCACTGCTTGGTTGAGCGTGTCTTAAATCGGAAATATTAAGACCCTGATTAAATAGCTCTACTAGTATTCCTTCTTTAAGTCTAGAATTACCGATAGAGGTCAAGACTCTACCGGCTATTTGAAAATATTTACTTGCGGGTTCATAACGTTATTAGTTAGACGGTCTTTAAAAACATACAATATTGCAGTTAACTCCCAGTAATTATTGTTCTAAATATTTTATCTGGAAGACGATTGATTTCATAAAATGGTTTAGTAGGTTCTGTACATGGAAGACGATTGATTTCATAAAATGGTTTAGTAGGTTCTGTACATTCGGTGTTTCAACAGGCTGAAACTTAAAATCAACTCAATATGATGCATTATGGGCTCCAGTGGTTGTGAACGTTAACTTGTGGGTTAACTTGGTCCATTAAAGACTGTATTGACATATACAATAAGGAAAGTCAGGCATGAGAAAAACGCCGAATGCATTCTAATACTATCCAATATAATACATTTTCCTACCAATACCATTTTCAGCATTATTGTTTTCTATTGACACAGGAGCGAGTTGTACGGTGCATAAGTTATACAGTTACTTCCACCTTAATCTTACCCATAATATTATATTAGAGGTATATAACTTTACTGCCCCGAATAATCTCACAGATTATACACTTCCTCTAATCGTAAATTTTACGTTTTTATTATGACAACACTCACTGATAGAGGATTTCTAGAAATATTCCAAAATGTTGTTTGTTTATTTATTGTTAAGCACAAGGCTACGCAATGGACTATTTGTATTATGCCCACAACGTGTATCGAAACCCGATTTTTAGTGTTATAAGACATGAGCCACTGGGGGAGTCTTCCTGAAAAACACGTAACTGTAATTTTGAACCTTGATTGTTTAAAAAGTAATAATGTCTCTGTTAAAATGTGTTTCCCAAAAATAAAGTAAAAACTGAATACACTTTAACAGATGTTCCTCCAGTTTTGCACCAGACATTTCCAGACAGGAAGGTCCATCCTGGAGCTTCGGTTTCCATGCTTTGTACAGCTTCCGGTCATCCACCACCGGAAGTAACGTGGGAAGTCGACGCACAGCCGCTTCCAAAGCTCGGGCGCTTCCACAACGATAACATCTATAGAAATGATGGGATGGTATTTAGTTATCTAAACATCAGTAACCTTCGAACCCAAGATGGAGGTGTGTATCAGTGTACAGCGACGAACCCCGTAGACTCAGTGACCCACTCCAACAGACTTGACGTATACGGATCGCCGTTTATTCGTCCCATGGTCAATGTCTCGGTAGTGGAGGGGCAGCAACTGACCATAAACTGTCCAGTATCCGGTTATCCTATTCACAGTATAACCTGGGAAAAAAGTAAGTTCTTATGGCTTTATATTAGACTTTAAATCAAATGGAATAAAGATTTATTCTAATAGGCTTAAATAAAACGATTTTTTTTTCTCTAACTATTGAGTATTTCGTGTTCCAAGACAGTTTTGTAGGCACGTGTAGTCACGATTAACGTTTCGTGTTGAACATCTTCGTACACCTCCATTAGATCTGAACGAGCTCGACGCTTAAGTGAGACGTTATAGTTTTCAGTATATAGATTTCCCTATCCACTGTTCTCCATCAACTTAAACAATGGTGAGTTAAGTCTATGACTATAAATATCCAACGATATTTACACAATATGTAAAAAAGTATTCTTCTGCTGTAAGAATACACATGGACAACCATTAAATGCAGTGTTTTTCTATAGATAGAACTATATATTTGTCGCATATTCGCTCTTGAGGTTCTTTAAACCAATAATACAACTTTATATAGACCTTAAAGGGGTTTTCAAAGGAATTATTACAATTTATCCATCAATCTTTACTTATTGTTAACTGTTGCATATTTAAAGCATTTCTCTTTATCAAAATTACTATAATATATATATATATATATATATATTTATAATTTATTTAATTTCCGAGATTTATTTTTATCAAAAAAAAACTTTAAGTCAGCTTGGGATAACAGAGCATCACGGTTTATAGTAGATTTTATCTTTCAGGCGGACTACAACTCCCCGTTTCTAGTAGACAGCTGGTCTTTCCCAATGGTACCTTAGTTATCAACCAGGTGGCGAAAGATTCAGACCAAGGAAAGTACAAATGCACAGCACGAAACTTAGAGGGCGCTTCAGACTACCAAACTGTAAATGTTAATGTGATAAGTAAGTGAGAACTAATAACTGATTTTTGGCTCTTATGTTTTTATGTGTGTATTTTATGCAATTAGATTGCAAAAAAAACTTCATAAATAAAAGTAAAACCATAATGAGAAAAAATTTATTTGTATTTGAAATCGTAATGTTAAGTTTAAAGTATAATTTTTTTCTCAAATGTATTTGAATTTACTGATAGGGCTATTTCGAGCTTTAAAAAAAGCAATGCTTTTTTGTATCCAAAATAAAAAGTGGCCACGTATTAGTTTGATTATTGGATTTCGCATAAAGCGATACCAAACCTGTCTGTGCTACATGTAACGGGACCCGAACCACGAAATCTCAGCTCCATAGTCCATCATATAACCTAGAAAAGTGGTCACACTGAATGAGTCAAACGTTCCTTTACAACACACACGTATGTAAGAATGAACTGAAGGGACACAATAACATCATTTTCAATGAAATGCATGAAAACAATAACGACATTTGGAAATGTTCAGAAAAACTCTAATAAACAAAGGTTTAAAATAGTCTTAATACAAATTATATTTATTTGTGATGAAATATTGACCGGGTTAATAGAGAATCATACATAATGAAGTTTTCCCGAGCCAACTTCGTTACTCAGCATGAAAGTTAATTAAATCATCTATAAAAAATGTGTTAGCGTACAGCTAAGCCTAACCTATCTTACATACACAGTAGTATTAAGCATTAGTTTTATGCTAACAATTTATGGACTCTATTATTATTAAGATTTAAAAGTTTGTACCCAATTTTTATTGCCCGTGGAATCTTTGCTGAAGTTAAATGAAATATATTTTTTGTGTAAAATGTTTTAAAATGTTGTGAATGATGAAATGGTGATCAAAGGGTTAACTGTTTTTGTTTGAGTTTGTTTTTATTTGATTTTGTCTTGGTTTGAGGTGTATTTAGCTTGTTTTTGTTGAGTTCCGCCGGAAGCTACATGGGGATCATCAGTGGTAGTAGTCCATAATTTTGGAATGTTAGGCTAAAGGGAATTTAAAATATAATTTTTCGCCAACTGTCAAAATAAAAGGCTTTTACTTATACTTCTAAAATATATATATATATATATATATATATTGTGTTGCTGTTGGGCTTAGGATTCTTCTACAGTCGGTGTCTGTGACTTTTTGGCGATAAATTGAACGATATGTTTTCAAAATAGTATATATATATTCAGAACAAGTTATCGTATGTACAATAAATTCTTCAACCCTATACATATTATGGACATATCATAAATACTATATATGTAGTTCTCTTCTTCTTGTCAAATATCCACTTAGGCCTATTCAATTACCTTACAAATTCAGTTGACAAGCCAAACTATCTTCACTATTTCTATCGCACTAGTATTCTGTGTGTATGATTAACTTACAATTGTGGCGTGAGTTACCGTAATCGTTTGGTCCTCTTTCTTCTGAATATCCTTTATTCCGTTTGTCAAAGAGCACTTAGGCTGATTCATTTACTTTAGAACCATACTTTGACGGAATAAATTATTTTTCTTATCTCCTTTTCTATTATTAGTCTTACTCTAACATATTAAATATTAGGCCTATGTTAATCGTTGATGTTATTGTTGTTTGTTATTAAGCACAAAGCTACAAAAGGGCTATCTGTGCTCTGCCCACCATGGGTATCGAAACCAAGTTTCTAGCAGTATAAGTCCGCAGATATACCACTGTGCCACTGGGGGCTTCTTAATCGTTAGACCTATCTTTTCTACGGTAGTTAACTTCACGCCGAACTTTTCCTTGACTGTAACTTTACTCTCTTCTGCTATTGTCTGTCTGCTGTTTCCGCTCGTCTCAAACTATTTATATCTTTATCACCTAATCGTCTGCCCGCCATCTAGAAATCTCTATGTTCTCGACGTCAATGTATTGCATGCGACGTTCGATAGTCTCAACATCAATGATTATAAACACAACTTCTTACAATCGTCTGCATTTAAATCTTATTATAACAAAAACTAAACAATAATGAAACATTCACTCACAAACTAAATTAATCAATTATATCTAAATTAAACAGTTTTTTATATTATGACAGGAAGGTAATTGGTCAACACCACCTACCGCCAATCTTATCGGTCGAATAGTGGGATATCACCGTCAGCCTTACAACGCACCAACCGCCCGAAAGTGTGAAGTTTTTGTTTTTGGCAGTAACTGGACGCGAACCACAGAGTAACAGATCCAGAGTCAAGCACGTTGACGACAAGTTCGTGGTCGCCCATCCCCTCCTCCCCAGAAAAAAAGAATAATAAAAAACGCGTAAACTAGTATTAAGCCAATTCTAATGTTTTTTATTTGCAAGTAATTTAACCTGACTACTAAATTTTTGTGGATCAGTCATCTCTTGTATACTCACTACAGGAATCACTCTCAGGATTCCGGCGTAATAAGCTATCAAGCTTCCTTCTATTTGTTTGTTTGTTTGAAGTTAAGCACAAAGCTACATAACGGGCTATCTGTGCGTTGTATTCTAGCGTTGTAAATCCGCAGACATACTGCTGTGCCACTGGGAGGCGCTTACCTGTGAGCAAGTGGGAATGGACGGTAAAAAACTCGTATTACACCCTTTTCATATAACTAGAAAAAATTTCAACTCATCGATTGGTTGTAAAAGCGCGAGCTGTTGTGTTATTTCGACTAAAAAGAAGCCTATACTCACTGTCCAGAAAATAATATTCTACAAAACACTATCTAAAATGCACTTTTTTTGTTGTGCATTAGATAACCGATTAGGTAATATATATTTAAAACATTCTCCGAAACAAAAAAACAAAACAAAATGGATCTAAAACTGAGTGTTGTGAAAAATATATTTGCAAATTCTAAAATTTTAGGAAGAACATGATGTATTACACAGGAAAAATACTCGGGCAAATAATTTTTAAAATAGGAACTAAATAATGTTTAAAACAGGAACTACTTTCTTGAAAGTATGTTCTCCCCCCCCCCCAGTAGCACAGCGGTATGTCTGCGGACTTACAACGCTAGAATCAGGGTTTCGATACCCGTGGTGGGTAGAGTACAGATAGCTCATTGTGTAGCTTTGTGCTTAATTACAAACAAACAACTGTGTCCTCCTTTAGCTCAGAGGTAAGCTCCAGAACGCTCATAATGCTAAAAGTAGAGATTACATCCTTCCGGTAGATAGCTCATTGTGTAGCTTTGTGCTTAATTACAAACAAACAAACAACTGTGTCCTCCTTTAGCTCAGAGGTAAGCTCCAACGCTCATAATGCTAAAAGTAGAGATTACATCCTTCCGGTAGATAGCTCATTGTGTAGCTTTGTGCTTAATTACAAACAAACAACTGTGTCCTCCTTTAGCTCAGAGGTAAGCTCCAAAGCTCATAATGCTAAAAGTAGAGATTACATCCTTCCGGTGGATAGCTCATTGTGTAGCTTTGCGCTAAAAAATAAGAACAAGTTTCTTTTAAGAGAATATATTATTTAACACAAATAATTGTACACAAAAGACAGAAAAAATGGTACAAACCTCAATGTGAAAATCGCAAAATGTATCTTAGTAGCAAGGTATCTGTTTCAGTCGAATTGACTCAGTAGCGAATCCCCATCTATAGATCACAGTATGTGTCAAAAACACTTCAATTTCGTCAAAAAAAAATTTGTTTATCAGAAAGTATTGATTAAAATTTAAATAGAGTTTTCAAAAAGATTTGTAATGTTTATTTTGTTTCCATCAGTATGATTGAAATGTGCGTTTAGGTTTAACACGCAATTTTGCAATCAGTTCAAAACGTCTTTTAATACATATATGTTTAGTTTGTTTGAGCACGAAGATACAGAATGGGCTATCTGCGCTCCATCTACCGATTATGTATATATAGTTATAGTTCTTGTCTAATAATTTCGTAGCATAAGGCATAATTCCCCAATCAATAGGTATTCAAATATCAATCTCTCTCCTCTAATGTATTTGTTCAGAGATCGATGAGCGTTTAGTTTACGGACCAATGATCTTCAGATTGTATGTGACTGTCAAATAAAGGCTTAACTCCAATACGATACTTAATATCTCTGTCAGATGAACATTACTTTCTGAAAACATGGCATAAAATAGAAGTAAAACTAGATGTTTGTTTCATACACCAGAAAGTCTTCACGTGCATCAATCGAACATTATAGCTTTTCATTTTCTTTTACTGTTCTATCTTTTTTTTTTTCGTTTTTCATTTGATGAGAGACGTCTTTTGCGGTATAAACAAGAAATTCAGAAAAATTAAGATTTTCTGGACTTTTAAAAGTTTCATTGCTGATAAACATCAATTTCTTCCTTTGTTATTAAGTTAAAAGGTACATAAGGTACTATTTGCGTTCTGCCCACTGCGGGTATTGAAATTCGATTTTTAGCATTATAAGCCCTCAGACTTACCGCGAACCACGAATAAAGTTTAAAATCTTTCGTAGGTAAGTGGAAAATATCATGAAATACGAACCAAAAAAAATTCTGCTAGCTTGTTTGATTTTGTTTAAACGGGAAGCTGCACTCGCTGTAGGAATCAAACCTCGAATCTTAACGGTATATGCCTTTAAGCTTGACTGTGAGACACCAGGAATTTCTAACCCGTGAAAAACTATCTTAGAATTGTAGAAAAACAAAAGAATAATTTTGTCTGATCTTATTATAGTTCGGGCTTCAATATATAAATATCACATGTCAATTATCAGCGAAGACAAAAATACGCTTCTGGCCTAAGTTCATATACATAAGAACTAAATTTGTTACTTGTAACTTCCAACGCATTGATTATGTGAGTTCTAGGAATCTTTATGTTCTTACTGCTCCAAGTAGATATGGTGAAAACATATTAACTGCAAACAAATTAAGAAAGACGTGTTGTAAAACAGCTAGGTTAAGAAGAAGAATTCAAATCGCGTGAAATGCACGAGGAAACCTGAAATTGACAGTTCAAAGTGTGCAACATCTTACAATTTGTGAATT